ATGACCTCCCCTTCTGTTTAATGTAAAAATTTTTTGAGGGGGTGGGGGGGGGGGGGGCTTTCTTTATTTCTATGCCCCTGTGGGTTAAAGTACAAAGACATTCTAGTGATATTGTTCTCAGGTGTTCTCAGCGTATGTCCTATTCAATGCCAGCGTCTTTTCTTCACCTCTTTACTGAAACTTGTTTTGGTTCTCTTCCAAACCTCTATATTAGTGTTTCTATCATTCCATTTAATTCCCTCTATTCTGAGCTGGCACCAGTTTATGAATGTTTGTAGTGTACTCTTTATTGCCTTGGTTGTTCTGAAAGTCTCCGCTCCGTACAACAGTATTCATTTGACATTAGAATTAAAAATTGTTAGTTTCGCATTAGTTTTAATTTCTTTTGACCTTGGCAAATTTCCTAGTGCCACAAAAGCTTCTTTTGCCTTTTGTATTCCTATTGTAATATCTCTATTAGTTCCCCTATCTTTATCTAATTACTTTCCAAATAGGTGTACGACACCACTTCTTGGACTAGGATACCATATGGAGAAACCACATTACTATTTGTCTGATTTATTCACCTGTGTCTTTCGCTAAGGGATTATTAGACCTAGCTGTTGTAATCTCGCGTAAAGTATATTTAATTTGTCTTGCATCTGATTCCGTGAGTGGGATAGAAGAGAAATATCATCAGCGAAGTCCAGATCATCAAGTTGTTTTGTAAGGGTCCACTGAATTCCATTCTTGGTGTGAGCAGTTACTGTTTTCATAATCCAGTCTACTGCCAGTAAAAATAGGAGAGGTAACAAAAGACATCCTTGTCGCACACCTGTTTTTATTTCAAATGTATATTTTAGTCTTCTCTCATGGAGAACTGGACGTTACATGTCTTTCTATGTTGCCTTTACCAAGTTGGTAATTTGCTGTGGGATTCCATAGTGCCCCAATAATTTCCAGAGAGATTCCCTATCAATGCTGCCAAAAGCTGTTTCGTAGTCTAAAAATCTAATGTAAAGTGGTGAATTCAATTTAACGCTGTGCACAATTATTATACATAATGTGGCTAACTTGTTTTTACAGGATCTTTTCCCCCGAAAACCTAAATCTCTTAGCGTTTGATATCCACCACCTTTAAGCCTTTCGAAAATAATCCTACTTAATATTTTTTTCCCAGGAACGACAGCAACACAATCCCTCTATAGTTCTCATTATTCTAAGGTGACATTATTATCTTTAGATAAACATTTTCCTAATCACCCCCGGCTCTAAAAGAGAACATCGCCTATCAGGCTGTATTGTCTGAACATGTTTAGTAATTAAGTTTGTATACATACTCAAGAACAAATATTAGTAAGAAAAAAAGTAAAGGACCCTTTTCCACGCCTGTAGAAGTATAGGGCATATAGGGCTATACCTATATTTTATAAACCAACGGCACAAGATGGGTGACTCTCTACTTTCCGGGACTGCACCCGGTACCCACTCAAGGCTGGGTTGACCTGGGAGCCAAGGTCATTTTTGAAGTAAGGTCCGGCTCCAAAGTAAAAATATTACATGAGTTTTAGTGTTGGAATCTTAAACTACTGAAGCTGTGTGGTGGGTACCAGCACATTTGTTTCTAGGAAAAAGCGCTGGATATAGATATAATTTACAATAGACTAGCATCACGTATCACAATCTTCCTTTAACATACGACAATACAGAGTCGGACTTTCAAGATATTCTAACACAAATCAGTGCTAACACGTTCCTCCGCACTGGGAAAGAAACAAAACACAAACAGTAGGTACTTATAAGTACTCACTCACAAAGAGCAACAATCCATACACTTACACAGCAGGAATGTACAACTATTTGAAAAAAATAATTGCATTTATATGGGGCATCAATTCCAGTTACCATAAGTTAGATAGCATCCACAAAATTTACCACTATTTTTATCTTTATCAGCATTCCGATTCCTCGAGGTTCATTGCTGCAGATGTCTCCCGCCTCCACTAATCTCTCTGGTTGGCTTCCCCTTTCCAGTAGGTAACACCAAGTGTTTCCAGGTCTGTCTAAACGTTTTCTCTACATGGTCTTCTTGGTCGGTCTGCCTCGTTGTCTACGACCCTTCAGCTCTATTGTGTTTGCAGTTTCTTTTTTTAACCTCTCTGTCATTTTACGTTCTCTCAGTATTCTCAAGCACTTTCAGTTTCTTGAATCTGATGATGCCATTGATCAATGGTGATTTAGACAGATTTTGAATTTCGTTGTTGCTTCTCACTTAATGTCCAGGTGATAGACGGTGTACGGCGTAGCGTCTACCGTAGGCGAAATAAAGGTTGAGTCCACAATTATTTTGAAGAAGCTCTGCTGCACGGTGGTGGAGGTGTAATTATGTGGGGAATGATCAGTTACAATTAAAGGAGTCTATTAGTGCACACTGAAGGATGCTTGAATGCGCAACGATACGTCAGTGAAGTTCTTCGACCACATGTCCTTCCATTTTTGGATGCCAACAGTTATCTCTCTTTTTTTTTTTACATGACAACTCCAGACCCCACCGCATCTGCACGGCTGACCACGCAGTTCCTTGCTGCCAGTAACATTCAAACCATTTACTGTCCATCCCTGTCTGCAGACATGAGTCCGATTGAGCACCTGTGGATGAGCTGCAAAGACGTGTTTGTCGCTGAGAAGTTGCTCCAGCCAATGGTCGTGATCTGTTCCAGGCACTCCTAGAAGAGTGGATGGTCATCCCACAGGCCCACATAAGAATCTGACATCCCCAGGAAATGCGTTTTTTATCCACGCAAAAGAAGGCCACAGGCCATACTAACTCAAAAGGTCACACGCCTAAACATTGTCGTGGCCCTGGTGCCAAAAAAACAAAAACATTTCCAATTGATTGGTGGTACCCTAAGGTATTCTCTTCTGAAATTTGAGTAATTTCACCTATAGCATTACAAAAATTTAGAATGTAAAAATTGTGAGTGTGTATGTTTATTTCCGTAGCTATGCGTTTTTATTTTTAATAGTGTACATGTTATAGACCAATCAGGACTTGGAGGGTGATGTGGTCAACATCACGTTGACCGCCTTTACTTCTCAAGACTTTACCTCGTATCCAGTTAAGGCTGGGTAAACCTTTCTTATCTTCTTTTGTTCGCTTGAAATAAATTTCGTATATCTTCAATGTTTTCTCTAGTATGAACCTCACTGTCTTTTGTAATTCACTTATCGGTCCATACAGTTTAGCTTCCGCAAAGGCTCTCTTGGCCAGAACATTAGTCTGGAAACGTTGTATCTGGGACAGTCTTGGAATACGTGATCTGTTGTCTCAGGTGCCAGTCCACATGTGCACATGGATGATTAGCGATCTTAAACCTTCTGCACATGTGGCTGCGAAGTCGACTGTGTCCTGATCTCAAGCTTGGGATAATGACTTGCTCGGGACTGTCCATAATATGGTTATCGTCTTGTGCCAGTTTCGATGGCTTTCTAATTGATCGGGTCGACCTGCAAGCCAAGGTAAGTTTTGAAGAAAAGAAAAGGCCTGGGTTCGTTACAATTTGTAGTGAGTACCGGCAATTTGTTTTGCAAAGAAAATATGCCTTAGTGATAAAATGACAATAATGATAACGATGATGATGATGATGATGATAAAAATAATAATAACAACAACAACATAGGTAACTAAAAAAAAAATGTTGCATGCCATCCTCAGCAGCATCATGTAACAGGTCCTTTGCAGAACGTCGCTCAAATCACAGTCTGCCTGAAAGAGATGGACAGAGTGGCTGGCTTTGCACAACTTGGTGAATTATGCAGACGTGGTTAAGACCTTATGGAAGCACTTGTACAATTCAGAGGAGTGAATGAATCATCAGAATCTGGTTAGAGTGTGGCAGCGAGAAGTGACAATAGGATCTGGTCAATATTCGAAGCTTGGTCGCTATCCCATATCCACTAACGTACACCACGAAGCGAAGCAACCATCGGAAGCTACGTTTTTTCTTCATTAAATGCTATTGCACTAGGAGCAAAGCATACTTAAATCGCCTCTCTAATACTACTGTCACTTACATCGACAGTATTTGCAAGGATGCCAAGAACAGTAACGACAATGTTAGTAAGATCGACGAATTACTATTTGCTGATGACCAGACCTCAGAAACAGATACAGCCATGATATTGCAACAGCGTCTGGCAACTACGAATAAGGAATGCAAAGACGTGATATTCAAATCACCACTGAGAAGACAGAAGTAATCGCAGTTGAAAGAAAGATGCATAAACTAAATATGACAGCAGAGTGCACAGGCATTAAACAGGCATTTGAATATAAATATCTGGGACGACATTCACCTAAGATGGGAAAAATTTATGAAGAAATCAACAACAGATACAGTAAAGCAAACCAAGTATTGGGATAGCTAGCTCGCTTCTTACATCATAAGACAATCCCAGTCAACACAAACATCTCGTACAAAGTACATTCATTCCCATTGTATGCTACCGATGCCAGTCATGGTCACTGACAACAAACAAAATTAGTAACCACAGAAATGAGATGTCTCCAGAAGGGTTGCAGGAATCACCAGAAGGGACTAAATCAGAAACGAGGCCATAATAGAAGAAGAATAAAACTGGCACAGAACTAATTAGAAATTACAGACAAAGATAGTAGACCAAGTGGTTTGTCCACTTAGAATGTTTTGCGACGCCATAGCATACACGGCATATACAAAAAGAGAAGGACGTAGAGCACATGCTAGACCAAGAACAAGGTGGAACGATAACATCAACCTCTACAACAGTACCATGTGTCTACGATCCAGGCTGTCAGAACAACAGCAAGCAGAACCGTATATATCTCAGCAGACACCGGAAGTTGTAAAAGATGATGTGAAGAAGATAAAAAATTCAGTCTACATCTACGAAAAGATACTAGTTTGTACCACTCATCCAACGCTGGACCCCAAACTGTTCCTGCCTACGCCGCTCAACGTCAAAAATAAAAGTTGATGTCTTCAACACTTAAGATTTGGATCACATAGATCTTTGTGTATCTGTAATATCTCCTGATGTGTATATCGATGCCCGGAAATATTGGACTTAAATGAACATCCTGACACCGCCCGTTTTCCATAAGAAAAATTCCCATTGTCATAAAGTTGTACGGAAGCCGTTTTGGCACATAATCCAGTTATATAAATGTCTTCTAGCCAAAATATTGGAACTCTAAGAGAAGTCTGATACAGTAGGGAAGCTGCAATGCCAGTCATGGCGTAGGCAGTTCCTGACATGTAGTTAGGGTAAGTGTTTCCTGGGAACATCGAAGTTGGAGTGTACCATTTTGAGTTTGAATCTCTGTTGGGGTGTGCGTTTACTTGCAGAGATCCAATTACGTAAGCCTTCGGGCGCGATTTGTCGGAGGAATATTCATGTAATACATTAACTAGAAATGGAATGTTAATATACATATCATCGTCCGCTTTTAAGACAAACTTGGTAGTAGAACAAAACATATTAACCCACTGCAAAATGGATACAGATTTTATACTAAGGTTGCGATAGGAATCAACATAATCTTCTTGTAATATGTCTCCATATTGTAAAGATTCTTCCGTTATATTTCTTTGAGTAAATGCTGCAGACTTGCCAGATTCTGGCGGGAGGTTCCCGATAAAGAACACCAGACGGGCTTTGTTTGACGTGTTGTAGGCGTAGCTTCCCCATGTTTTTCTGATGACAGATCTGCCTTCATAGTTGTTGTAGGCTATAGGGACACAAATCACCAGAGTAACTTCTTCATTGGCACAAGTTACGTTGGGCTGAATCAAATACTTGAAATCATGAGGGTTGACAATCGGCTTACGCAAAGAGGGCTTCTCATTTGTAACAACGCTATTGGATTGGTCAAACATTCTGTCCAGACTTGAGTGGTCAATACTAGTATCCTGGGTAACGTTGGTTGAAAGAGATTTGTTGGTGGCAGTTTGCGCCAGCAGGACCTCTAGAACGAAGTGTTTAGACTGCATGAACAAGGTCACGTTCAGTAGTACAAACACTGCTCCCAAGGCTATCTTGATCCAAGTGGATTTAACCATGAGTGTCCACCCTGGTTGCATTTTCCTGCAATTAAAGCAAAATTAGGACAATTAATTGGCAGGAAACATAATATCATGAACGTTTATGTTAACGGTACTGCAATCAAACAAGTACGAGAATTCGAATATCTAGGAAGCATATTTAAGGAGGATGACAAACTTCACAGAGAGGTAGAAGCCAGAGTATAGAAGGCAAATGTTGTCACCTACCTGTTAGCCCCACTGCTTAAACACCAAAATGTCTCACTTTCAGCAAAACAGCAAATGATTAACAGCACATTTAACCCTACTATGTGTTATCAGTGCCAAACATGGACAATGAATAGGAAACTAGAACAGAAAAAAAAAAACTATATGGGAAATGAGCTGTCTCCGAAAGGTCACTGACATCACAAGACGAGACAGGGTTACGAATACCAGCTCTAGAGATAAAGTCGGAATAAGACCATGTCTGGATTATTCCGACAGACAAAGAATGAAATGATCCAGGCATCTAGTGAAAATGCAGTAAGACCAAACTGTAAATTAGACTTTTTTTAACAGCAAAACAC